CAAGTTACACTGAGGAGGAGTGGACGGGAGGGAGGGTGGCGGAGGTGTGCCGGCCGACCGGATCGTCCGACCGAACCCAAGACGACCTCGCCCCGGGAGAGACATCGCAGGGAACGGAGCTTACAGTCATCGTCGCCTCGATCGTCGTCGGAGTCTGCTGCGTTCTCATTCTCGTCGGAGTCTGGTTCGGTCTGTCCAAATCTTCCATGTGGGAATGGTGTAGTATTCAGAGTTTGTCGTTCCGTTGCGACTCATGCAGTGGATTACCGTGATCATTTCTTGCAGTAGTGCTGTCGTCGTCATCGCGAAGAAATTACGATGAAATATTAGCAATCACGATACTCATCATCGTAGCCAATATTCATTCACATGAACTCATTCATTGCTTCCTCATTTGCATCAATAATCTGCTCTTTCACTTTCAGTTCCTTTTCTTTGGGTTCACGTTTAATTACTTTTTTTTAGGCTTCTCTAATAAACATCGAGGCATTCCACGATTTTTCGAGTTAAATTAATTGTGAACAACGGGATTTTTAGGGTTCAAGAAGAGGAGAAAGAAGCCGAAGAGGACAGACGTGGAAAGCAACGAACGATCGGCGAGAGCACCGACTTTCCCCGATACCTGGTCCTCCACCTCCTCGTTCCTGCAGTTCCGAATGCCCCTGCCTGTCCCCGTCGGCGACGGACCCCAAAAGCTCGGTGGAGGTGGGTAGAGATTGGAATTTATCGTTCGTTGAGTCATTTATTGCATGCGATATTTGCACGTGGGCGCGTGACTGCAGAGGAACTTTAGTGTAGCAAAATGCGATTTGATGTCTCAGTAAAAAAAATTATGATATATGGCATGTAAAAGCGATTCATTAATTCTCCCAATTTTTTCTTCCCTGTCGTTGTTGGATTTAGTAGGATTGTTTGAGTTGTTATTCTATTGCACCCATACGCTTCCATGCAATGAAAACTTGAATACGTCGTGAACAGATTGTGGAGAAAGTTTCCTCATCTGGAACTCAGTAGTATGCGATCGGATGATAAATGAAGGATATTCGAACGTGTTCTATCTCTTTCCAGTTACGTGTCACGGGTCGGATACGGAAATGAATCGATTACACCTCTAGCCCTTTCTACTAACGTGTCAGAGATGTCGACGAGTCTTACCACCCCGACACCACTTCCTCCATCCTCCAGTAGGTCATCCTCTCCTTCATCCTCGACTCCGACGTCCTCTCCTCCACCACCAGGATCAGCCGGAAGGGAACGGGAATTTGAGAGGCAGTGGAGTTCTACCACGTCCGAGAGGCACATCCAAGGGACGGAATCCATGTTCTTCTTGAGTCTAATCACGAGATCTTGTTCGTCTCGGTTTCGTCGCCAAGAGACCAGTCAGCACCCGTGACAGTTAATCCCCAAATTCGTCTGGATCTTTCTCATTCATTTTCTCGCATTTCTTTTATCCCTTTCGTCGACGAGCGAAAGGTGGCGATTTCGATCCTGCTGTTTTGATCGTCTGTCAATTTCTCTGTCTTGCATATATCGCTCTGCTTGATTGCTAATAAACTTGTCTGCCCATTTTCAACGTCGTTCTCCTTTAAAACCAAGAGGGAAACGGAGTCAGGGAGTGGCCGACCACTTAGATGATAGGTGAAGAGCCCAACCGATCTCGCCCGCGATCATGTCTGGATCGCTCCAGAAAATGGAGAACTCGACGAGAAGAAATGATTCATTTCAGGCTGAGAGAGAAAGCCAGTTGTCATTTCGGTGCCAGAGGTGCCATTTCGCTTCGTTCCGAGATTGCTTTCAATGATTTGGCGAATCGCCTCGGGAAGCATTTTTTCCGCGGGTACGATTCGAAGCTGCATGGTCTTATCTTTTCGTTTCTGTCGTCGCATGCTTCCAAGCCACTTTGAAGCCACTTTGACGCCACTTCCACTTGATGGAGAAGCAGGCCCGAGCCACTCGACCAGACCGACGACCTTGAAGCTGAGAATTTTCGTTTCTGACGAAAAAACAAAATTTCCGCTGTGACTCGGACGGCATGCAACTATTTTCCATCACGATGGCGATTTTTATCGCATTTGCTGACGCGAGATTAGATGATTGGGACCTCGTGTCTGGACTCCGTTACCGTTAGCTAGTTGGCATGCCGTGATCACAGATATGACACCAATGTAAATCACGTAATGGAAACGTCGTGATCGCCCACAAATATGAACGACGACAAACGGTTCGCGAAGAACGTTTCCCGCAACCGTTCGTAATTGCCACCCACTGTTCGCGAAGAAACGTCGGCCCTTAAATCGGCTGCGACGAATCGTCGTTCTAGCCGCCCTTCCTTTTCCTTCGACTCGATTTCAGACGAATTCGTTGAAAGCGTTGCGTTCACTATGACGCGAACGGCATTCCGTCAGTCTTACCAACGAGCAACGGAATGAACCGGGACCTGTACCTCCGCTCTACTAAATTTAAATCTAAGTCTAAAATCAGTCTAAAACCAAAAAGTCTATTCTTCGCCCTGACCCTTTGCACTAAGATTTAGCCTAAGCTTTAGATATAGATCTCAGCTTAGCAGAGGCGAGGAACGGGCCCCCGGAAAGACCTGATGGAAGAGCAGAGGGTGCCCGAAGCGAAGCAGCCGCCGAAAAGGCGAAAGGAATGAAAAAGAAAGACGGGAGACCCTGGAGAGGAGACGAAGCTGTGACGCCGGGGTGGCTAATTTCGAAATAGGCCTAATACAATGACACAGCAGAGCCCTCGTCTGATTGGCCGCAGCCGAATGACGTCACAAAATGGAGTCATGTCAGCACTCATGGCTTGAAGGAAGCAAGCATGGCGTGGGGATGCCCCTAGGTCAAGAAAAGTACTGGAGGTAGTGCACAGTACAATGTGGTCGGTATCATGGCTACTCTTCTTCGTTCATAACAATGGCATTTTTGTAATTTCCCTTTCCAGCTTTCTTGATGTCGTGAACATGGTGGAAGGCAGTCATGGTACAGGAGGCCTCATAATTCAGGGAGGAGTTTCATAGGCCTGGTAACGTCGGATCGGAACTCCATCTTTCGTGAGTGCGAGTTCCCGATTTCTTGAGCGGGCCTCAAGTTCCAGGCGGGCCTATGCTGCGATTGCCCAGTCTACGAATACGATAAGGTTATGCCACCCTTGCATCATCACAGTCGACCTATTTTACAGCAGATCTAAGGCATAAAGTAAAACGAACTTCGAGTGAACGTTCAAAGGCAAACATAGGCTAATGGAGACGAAGGTCGACGACGAGATGCATGGTAGAGACGTTGGCGGGTCGTGGCAGAGCATGCTTCCACATTCAGCGGGGCTGCTCCGATAACCCGCGGGACCTGCTCCAACTCCGTCAATGGGAACCCCAGGCCCACTTTAAACTCTATTAATCACCTCGCACGTGAATCGCCGGCATTCTGCCAAGACCTATTTCCAAGCACCCTTTATTGCCATAAAATGAAGTCATTTTTGGATCCATATGCATGATTGAAAGACGTCTGGAACGACTCCACTGGGCCTATCGGTTCCTCTGAGGACCGATTGCGCCTGCTGCGTTGGAGTTGTTTCCTGCGTGAAAGTATCTAGAAAAAAGTTGGATTGAAAAATCTGGATGCTGAAACCTCTTTTAGTTGACGGTCCTTTAAGAACACATGGAATTGTATGGGGATCCTTGTACTAGACCTTGGACCGTTTCCTAATGGAGGTTTCGGCATTCGGACCAAAGTCTTCTAATTCCAGCACGCGTGCCTATGCTGTTCATATGGATGCGCCATCTGCAGTTCACTTTCTTAAGTAAGTGGTCTCGCCATACCGCTCGAATGTGACGTCATCCATGCGTGGCCAATCAGATGTGTGCGCTGTATTATATCCATATTAGCTGCCCGACTGACTACAATTTCTTCCTGGTGTTCCTTCTTCATCTCGTGGCGGGGGTCGACGACATCTGGTGGATGAAGATGGAAGCTCGTAGCCCTTTCCGCCTTTCGCCAGTCCCAGGCGCTCCGCGAGTCTTTCGTCGCGTGGAAGTCGTTTGAGGGCGTCTGCCAGGCCTCTCGTCGTTCGTGCTTCCCTCAGACTCTACCGGGTGAATGCCAGACGTCAAACTTCCCACACCTTCCATTGAAGCCAGCTGAAAGCGGAAGAAACGAGCGGAACGGCCTCGTCACATCGTCGCCCACTCGAGATGCGTGGCCGCTATCGTATCCCCCTTCGCAGCTGGGTTCGCTTTGGTCAAGTTTCGAAAATCTCCAATGAATTTGTTGAATAAATTCAAAATCGAAAGGATCTTTCAACAGACAAGTCCCACCGTCTCCTTACTTCAACTAGAAAAATAACATTCACAATATTACTTGTACACGTAAATTGCAAATGTACGCATGAGCCCATTATGTGGCATATTTCATCTTCGTGAATCCAAGATTGTTCATGCAGCAGATTCCAAACATTCCCCCGTTTTTGTCCATTAGAAGGAAATAGCGGTAGGAAAATTGATGCGACCTCATGCAGCCGCGTGTCCCCCTTCGCGGCAGATAAGACTCGGCCATAAACAATTGCCCCGCCGGAACACGACAGAGATTAGAGTGTATACGGGTGGTGGGGGGGGGGGGGGGGAATCATGTAAATGTACGTGTATTAAGGAGTACACAAGTTAGGTTTTATGTACCGTGCAAATAAGCACTCTCAGACATGCATCGTAACAGATATGCCTGGTTGAAGCTCTTTTATTCATCCCAAAGTTTTCGCCCCTCGGGTTGGATGCTTTCAAGCAAACGATCACTTCGTTCCTGCCAGGTTTTTTGGAATGGCGGCGATCAGCAACGACTTGAAACTTTTTCCCAAGACTATTTCGCCGATTCGGCTCCAGACTTGCGAGTCTTTTCGTCGTCCAGCTTGGCCCTCGCGAAAGTCATTTCTCTGTTCGACAAGAGACACCGTTTCTGTATGCTGCAGAGGACCGATAAAAAAATTACCGGCCTGCAGCGTCCAGTCACATTCGATGCGCACTTGATGCTTATTAGGTACAGTCATCCCTTCGGGAAGGAAGGCTCTGGAATGGGGCGATCTGAGTTCTCTCTCCCCATTGGTGGAGAGAGAAATCGTATGATGAGATACATCATACGACGCAAGGGGACTCATCCCAGCACGTCGTGCAAGCCGCACTTTCCCACAGTCGATTTCTTCCGGTCCGAGGATGTCTCGTGTTTGCGGAAAGCCAGGATTCGGAAAGTGTTCGCGACGTACCATTCCTGCTGTGACACGGGACCTCTCGGCTGAGACACCTGGTCCTCCCTGACGTGAGTTCTCTTCCAACATCGGGGGTGAGACCTTTTCGCATTCTTTCGATGCAATTCCGTGATTTCAGCAGAGGCCTTGTGGAAATCTTCCCGCCAAAAATGACCGGATCCATGATGCATCGTCTTGTCTTCGCTCTGGGCCTCCTCGTGAGTTTCTTTCCTCGTTCTTCTATCGATGGTTGTTGCCGAGGGAAGGGAGTGAAAATGGAAGCCCCGTTAGCAACAGTAGGTTGTCTTATCAAGACGACGTATGGCGTGATTCATTGATGGTGGGACATTTTTTTCTTCGTCTCACCGTGACACACTCGGCAAAAAACAAGGGGCACTTGAAAAATCTCTATTCGTTTACCTGATACGCGACAGTCGTCCTATGGGAAAAAAAAAATATATCATGTGTAAACAGCTAATTTATGGTGGCTGAATCGTGAGTCAACTTAGCGGGGCGTCCAGAAGGGTCGATTAGACCGTTTGCACCCGTCTGCACCCATTTGCACCTCTCGAAGGCTGATAGAGATAGAGATAGACGTATATCCCTGAGATAGAGCCTCTCAGCTCTATCTCAGGGATAGGATCTCATATCTATCTGAGGCAGATAATCGGATGAGGTTGGGCGCGGATGACTCCAACGGCTGCCTCGAACTTAGTCGAAAGGTCGTGCTCGGGCCTGGCCCCGAAAGCGGGCCCCGAACGCTGTAGAACATTGTGGCAGAGATTTTTAATCCGTTCCTGGGAAACGCCTGACGTTCTACAGGTGCCATCCAGTCTGGAGGCAAGAAGACAGTGAATGAGGCTCTCTCGATCCTCGCTTTATCAGGCTCGATCGCGCTCAGTTTTCGCCGTTTATCCTGTCGCGATTGCCTCTCCATTGCTTTAAGTTGCGCCGGGTATCTCGAGCCTTGGGACTTAATGCTACTTTTCTTTGTCGACCTCTAGTGTCCAGCAATCATTCCTTGCAGCTGTGTGACCACCTCATCGATGGTAAATCACGCCGCGTCACTACGACTAATAGTGTTAATGCTAAAACAAGAATCCGGAGTTTTCAGAATCCTCAAAGCCTTCACTTTCGTAACAAAATCCTGTTTCAGGGCTCTGGAATATCACGTGATGGAACAAATAACTAAATAGTATTGTAATGTTAATACCCTGGAATGTAAAGAGGTAAAGGTATTATCAAGTTTTTGCTTTACCATCTCCAAAGCATAATGCTCGAAGGTGCATTCGCCGTTCCAAGGTAAATCTTTACAACCGAAACGAATTTGGCCTTTTGCTTTGTGTAGCTGGGGTCAGTGGATTCAGGAGGAGGATGCACGAACGCCAAGGAATTCTGTGGGCAGTACAACAGGAAGCCCGGAGGGCCGACTTGCCCAACGTCGCATCGGCAATGTGGGTCGTGCCTCGACGGGTAGGGGCCTTCGCCAAACGACGCCTCCGATCTCATGTCCATTAACGTACCACAACTTCTCTCGATTTTTTTTTCAAGTTACACTGAGGAGGAGTGGACGGGAGGGAGGGTGGCGGAGGTGTGCCGGCCGACCGGATCGTCCGACCGAACCCAAGACGACCTCGCCCCGGGAGAGACATCGCAGGGAACGGAGCTTACAGTCATCGTCGCCTCGATCGTCGTCGGAGTCTGCTGCGTTCTCATTCTCGTCGGAGTCTGGCTCGGTCGGTCCAATATTTAGTAGGATTGTTTGGGTTGTTATTCTATTGCACTCATTCGTTTCCAAACAACGAAAACCTGAACACGTCGTGAACAGTTTGTGGGGAAATTTGTTTGAACATCTTTGCAGGAATGGAGGCTCTCGAGAACCGAAAAGGAAGTGAAATTGCTCAGGAGGAGACGCCGCTCGTAGTACACGGATTCATTTCCGGAGAGCCAGAGAGACTTCTCAAAGCACAACCAGAGAATTGGGAAGAATATCAGAGCAATCCTTGTTCGGCATACAAGTATGCAGCACTGTCAATATGGGTTTCCTCGTTCGGAACTCAGTGGTATCCGATCGGAACGAATGTATGAAAAGTCTGAGCGTGTTCTGTCTCTTTCCAGTAATGTGTCGCGGGTCGAAAACGGAAATGAATCGATTACACCTCTAGCCCTTTCTACTAACGTGTCATCCATGTCTACGACGAGGCTTGCCAGTCCAACACCCTTTCCTCCATCTTCCAGCCTGTCATCCTCTCCTTCCCCCTCCATCCGCTCACCGCCAGCTCCTTCTCCCTCGACTCCGACGTCTTCTCCTCCACCACCAGGATCAGCCGAAAGGGAACGGGAATCTGGGAGGCAGTGGAGATCGACTACGTCCGAGAGGCACATCCAGGAGACGGAATCCATGTTCTTCTTGAGTCTAATCACCAGATCTTGTTCGTCTCGGTTTCGTCGCCAAGAGACCAGTCAGCACCCGTGACAGTTAATCCCCAAATTCGTATGGATCTTTCTCATTCATTTTCTGGCATTTCTTTTATCCCTTTCGTCGACAAGCGAACGGTGTCGATTTTGATCCTGCTGTTTTGATCATCTGTCAATTTCTCTGTATTGTATATATATCACTCTGCTTGATTGCTAATAAATTTGTTTGCCCATTTTCACCGTCGTCTCCTTTGAAACTGAGAGGGAACGGCTGCGAGATTGGGAGCGGCGGCGCACATAGATAGCAGATGTAGAACTCAACCGGTCTCCCTCGCTCCGGTGGTTTGTCCCAACAAATGAAAGTGATATGTTCTTGAAGCAGACATGAGAATGGAACTGCAACACCCTTGAGCAGCCCGTCTGAGACGGCTGGTCGAGTCGATGAAGGTGCAGGAGAGAAAAATGTTTGAGCAAGTTTTTGTTGAAAAACACTGCTTTGATTCCATGGAGATGCTGTATTCGAAATGTTCGCAATCTTTGGCTTGGAAATTTTCAGAAATGTATATCATTTCCCAGCAGAATTCTATAGAGACTTGAATTTAAATTCTACATCGAGAAATCCACGTTGTTTTTGCATCCACTAGACATTTCCACTAGACCAACTTCTTGAATTATACCAATGTTTCCCCCTCCCCCTCGACTTCTTGAGCGAGCCGTCGGATAACCTGACGATTTCACCGTTGGATAAGTGGATGGGATAAGTGCACATCAAGAAAAAAGAAACAAAATTAACACAAACAAATGTGATCCTTCAATCTGTTTCTTACTGAAACCCTATTAACTCAACCCATGAGACTTCTGTTGTTTCAAATGCAAACATTATCGTGTCAATGCAAACATTTTACAAACCATGACTTTCGTTTTGTGAAATGACATGAATTATGTTACTAAAGTTCTTATGAAACCTCAATCCCCATGTGACTACCCCCTGTGCACTACGTGGTCCGGTGAGGGCCACCTATTATGCACCCCCAACCGAGCAAGGGGTACTTGGTCGCGAAAATCGAGGTTGCAACTGTCCTCTATGTATCTCCCAAATTCAGTCTCCAGTCGTGGTCACCTTCTAGGAATGGTTGGAGAAGCGGTGAATTCGTTAGATAATACGATGGAACGAGCAACTTGAACTCTCCCTTGACTTGCAGAACTGAAATGTATTCCAAAATCACAGATATAGAATCATGAAAAATATGTGAAAATTATTTTTCAAAGGCTTTCCCTTTCCTCAACCCCAACCCCAACCTTTACTTCACTCCCCACCCCTCTTCTCTTGGGAACTCACTAACGTTAGGCCTAACGTTGGGACTAACCGACGGACTATCTCCGGGTCAGGCCTAGACATACCTTTTTTGTTCAAAAGAAACTCAATCCTCGACTTACGAGACCAATTAGGCCTATAATGATTAATCCCTTGTCTTCGAGACATCTCGACGAGGACGTGTAACAATAGGCCAATCGCATGCCTATTCAATCTTTCAAGGCCCTTTTAAGAGAGGACGTTTGACGTCAGACCAATTAGAGGTCTTTTTTTAGTTTCTTGAACCATTTTAGAGCGGACGAGGAACGTTAGGCCCATCTAGAGTTCCTCGAACCGTCTCGACTAGTTCTGAGGAGAGAATGCCCGTGGGAAGCATGAAATACAACCTGGACGCCATATTGTTAATTTCG